GTGTCCCACAGCCATGTGAGCCACTGTACTCTGACTTGCTTACCAAAACCATTCCCATATGGAGGTTAGGGTGGGCACAAGTGCTAGTGCATCCTTGTGAATATCCCTTCGATGCAATTGCTAAGTAAACCACTTCTTGTTAACTTTTTCTAGGTTGAATGACCTATAAATGTTTCATTTTTATCTAATATTGAACCTAAACTTACAGAACACCAGTCCAAGTAAGACCTGCCCATTACAGCTTCACTATTCCCCTAAACCAGCCTTCCCTCTATTCTTCACACAATGCTCCATCTCCTGTCTCTGTAACTTTGCACTGGCACTCCTTCCTCACCAATGCTTCACAGAATTCCTCTCTGTCTTCAAGATGCAGTTTAAGCACCACTTTCTTTCTTAAGCCTTTCCTGATTCCTCCAATTGCTAGTTCCCTTCCTCTCAAATTACCTTATATTTAGCTATTTGGAATTTATTTGTATTTATTCTTTTTATATTTATTTTGCATAAAATTTTACATATATGTACATTTATGTGTATATATGCATATAGGTGAGAAATGTACCTCAAACAATGCAAAAAAAAAAAAAAACCAGTGTTTTTTTCTAAAAAGACCACATAGCACTCTATTCAATAGCTGATGAGAAAAAAAAATTACATGCTGGCAGGGAACAAAAAAATAAAAAAAATCTTTCCAAAATTGACTCAATATGTGAATATAATAAGTACAAGATTAAAAAGAAAAGTAGTCACAAGTCTACCCATTGTAGTAGAAACATCACATTGATAAAGGGGAATCTACAGTAGGCAAGGTACCTGCTAGGCAAAAATTTTATACACCTGGATGTATTAGTTTGTTTCTCATCTCTTCAGGTGCTAACCATATAAGATGGAATTCATTACATATTCTTATCCATGGATATTTGTCATCGAAAAATAAAAGGAAAGAAAAATTCATAAAATGATTCTAAAAGGCAATTTGTAATAATAGGAAATACAGTTGAAAGCAAGGCTGCCATCATGCGGCCCTAATCTAATAAACATACCAAACCCTGTGAATTGTTATTTGAAAATAAAATACAATAATATTTCATGCAACACTATTATTTTTTAATTATACTACACAGTTATAACTGCTAAGAGAGTCTTATAATGTTAGTTATATACCTTGAGGAATTGTAGAATCAGTTACCTACTTCATTCAACAAAATAATATAACATTTAATATTCTATCAACATATAACTGATTGGCTCTATGTTTTGATTAGGGGTTTTGTTTTACATCATGTCATCCTTTTACTTTTTTATTCATTCCAAAAATGATAAAAAATGAACTATATTTTAGTTAAATGATCTTATTCCATAGGTTCAAGTAGTTAATCAATGAAGAGAATTTACTGCTTATTGGTTCTATCTGAGAACATGTGCAGCGACACCATAGGAATAAAAACCATATTCCTTTCCCTAATGACATATAAAGTCTAATGGGTGCAAATAAGACATTTAAAAATGCATTACCACAATCAAAGAATCAAAGCTTTAAATATAGGGAGGTAGGGGATAAAGTTACTAGAGATATCACTTTCTAGGACACAAGCATGCCTCTTACTCTGAAGTTGTCTATTTGCAGCAGAAATAATCACGGATTATTAGAATTATTAGAATCTTTTGGTTCAGACAGTCCCATTATAGGATAGTGTAGAAATAGGGGAGGGAATGAGAAAGGAAGGAAAGGAGGTAGGGAAGAAAGGAGGGAGAAAAGCAAGTGAGATCTCTTCATGGATGAATAGTGTAACTGTAGAGATTTAGTATTCCTCATGACTGCCTGAGTGTTTCTGTGTCTTTGGGGAAGTTTCTGCAGGGCCTGTGCTATAAGAAGCCTGAGGATTTAGGTACAGAGAACAACAAATGGTTTGAGCAATGAAAACTCTATTTCCCAAGGGAAGTGATAGCTACATCCTTAATAATATTCTCTCATTTATCACAGAGCCTTGGGCAAAAGGAACTGAATCATAAAATGTTTGAGCTAAAAGTGGCTTTTGAGGTCACTTGGTATAGCATTTACCCAAACTATGTCAACCAAACCTATACATTCCACAAGCTGAAAGTAATGCTTATAAAAGAAAAAAAGTCAATGTTAATAGGATTTCCCCTCTAAAATATTAAACATGAAATTGTAAGTGTATAAAAATACCTGTAAAGATTTATTCTGATGATTCGTTGAGGCATAGACTTAGAACCTGGTTTCTCAAAAGTATGACAGTCAAATGGCAAGCTATGCTAGATCCTACCATACTAGACTGATTTTGCAGATGAGGAAAATGGTTTTTAGAGAGGTAGACTTGCCCAAATTTACCTAACAGAGCAGCAATTAGAGCCAAGGTCTGAATACCATTTGAGTATGTTTACCTTACTATATCCACTCTGCCTCTGGCTAGTTAAATCCCTTCATTTCATTGGTGAGGAAATATAGGACAAGTGAGGTTGAATGACTTATCTAGTCACCTATGTACAGTAAAAGCTCACACATACAAACATATGTATTTAGTAACTGGGGAAAGACTAGTCTGAATTAGTGAAAAATTGAATTCTGGAATATTTTTCTAGAAATGCAATTTTATTTCAAATAGTAACTCAAATTAAGCTTATAAAACATTTCCTAGTAGATTTTCCTAGGTAATCTGATTTGATAAATAATAATTTATAGTTAGAATATCAATCATTCATATGTAAATAGTACTTCTAAATTGCTTAAGGTGATTAAAAATGTTTTCTTAAATAAAATATTTCCCTTTGTAATATAATTGACACTATTTTAAAATAACATTGTTATTTACAAAATTTCCTTTGCTATGTAACAGCTCACTCATTTGACATAGTTAAAAAAATCAGAATTACAGAATAATTTTACAAAATATATCTTTGTTACTTTCAAGTGATATAAATATGAACAATAATATACTTTTGTAGCACTTTAGAGCTATAAAAGTTTTTTGGTGTTTTGTTTTTTTTCTACATGAAATATGTCATTTACCTGTAATGAGGGTGGAGGGAATCAGGGCTCAGTTCCAGCCTGTCAAAATTTACAAGGCCCTGACAGAACTACAATACTTCAGCAGTGTACAAACAATTAAGCTTTGTAACTACCTAGCAAGAATCAAGATTTAAGACTGGAAGCTCTCAAATGCTGCTCTGAGGATTCCTCAAGTCCTAAAGTCTCTCACTTCAGGACACAGGGCAATGTCCCAGGGTCTCCAATCCCAAGTGAATTTGTTTTAAGAAATTGTTTTGAGAGTGCATATCATGTCACTTGCCCTTCATGCAAAAATAGTTAGTTTTAGCTCTTAATTCTTAAAACAATACTGTGGAGTAGGAAAGACATTTATTACTATTCTTATTTTACAATTCTGGGAGATTAAATAGTTTACTTAAGATTACATGTCTAGTGGGGCAGCAATAGAGCTCAATCTTTTCAGTTTGGGAAAAAAGGATGTTGACTAAATGTTATTATTAAATGGCATGAACTCTATTTCAAACTACTGTTTTTAATTCATATGCAACTTCAGGGTAGGAAATGCAAAATAAAAATATAATAATGTCAAATCTTATTTGTATTTCATCTGGTAAGGCCAAGGTATGGTCTCATCATATGTATGTGCCTCAGGCATTTCTACTCTCTTTTGCTTTATAATTATGTACTTTAAAGCTAGAAATTGTTTAAGTGGTTCTTTCATATTTTCTTCTTCTCTTAAATCAGAGGGAAATGTACCCACAGTTCTTTCAACAGCAGTTAATCTACATATCTTTGCCTTGTAATTTTCCTTTAACAAGTGTAGGCTGATTAAAATCAATTTGAAATTGGTTTTATGTTATTGAAATGCCACTTGAAGGAGACCTTTCTTTTTAAAAAGGCATTTCTATGAGTAGAAGTACCATTTTATCATTCTGCTTTTATACTTTGCACAAGTGGCAGCATTTGTTTTGATCCACTAAGTAACCAAAACAAAGAACACTTTAAATTTTCTATATCACGAACACATTTTCTCTACTCTCCATTCATATCTTCTGTAATTTAACCAATCTGCCAACATTTTGTTTGGAATTATAATTTTAAATTTTTGAAAAGGTACAAAGTTTATATTTTCTTAGTCTTCATTGACCTTTAGAAGTATTTATTTGGAACAAAACTAAATCAAGTAAATATCAACATATAATGCATTTCAATTTATTTCTATAGTAGTAGCTATTATAATATTTCAAGAAGACATCCTATATTATTACTGATAGTTTTAACGAATGGGGGGAATCTCGTCAGGTACAAATATAATGAGAAATATGGCTAACAAAATATTTACATTCTGACTGATAAGCATAAAAATATGTTCACATATGTTCTGGGGTTTAACAAAATTTCTGGTGCATTAAACTAAGAATACATAAATTCATTGTATCAGAATACAGCCAGAATATTTTTTTAAGTTGAAAAACATGTTTTGTTTTCTTCAGAGGGTGAGATGGTAAAAGGACTAATTCTAATGTTTAAAATGTCATGCAAGTTGTAAATTCTTAAATGAATCATATATTCCAATTTGATAAATGGTATGAAGTAGAAGGAAAACAGACTTGAACAAAAAAGAATGTTATAAGATAGCCTAAGACATAAGAGAAGGAGAATGAACAATTTAAATATCTATTAAAGAGAGATAGTAATTTTTTTTTGCCAGTGCAAAACCGGTCAATAGCAAGCCAGCTAATGAGAATTTAAATTGGTTATAATACCATGACATTGAGTTGTCAGGTCATATTTCATTTCTCATATTTATAAAATCTTCATTAAAATTATTTATACATCAATAGATCGTACCCTTAAAGAATGTTTGAGAAATCAATAAGCAGATTTTGACAAATGATACACTAAAAAAGACCATATATGTATAACATATAAGTATATATATTGTATGTATATATCATATATATATTTATAACATCAATCATTTTGTGTTTAACTAGGTCTACATATAGACATATGCATATACAGATAGGCTAGACACAGAATCATAGTATACATTTACAGAATGATTAGAACAGCATTAAGAAATTTAGCTTATAACTACAGTTATAGTTAGCCAGGAGGCTAATATTTTAAGTCTCATCAGAGACTTAAAAGTAAAGCAGTTGAGCAATAATGCTAATTAGGTATTTCACATTTAACCTTGCACTATCTTCTCAAACAGCCAAGCTTGATCTTTGCAATGGCCTCTCTCTCTAATTCAGCCACTGCCACTCCAGAGACAAAAGACCTTTGGGCTTTTCAGAACTCACAAGGTTACCACCAGTCCAGGTCAGAACAGAACCACTGCGGGATATTCAATCACCTAAAAAGAAAAAATACAAAGAGTCAGAAGTGACCATGTGTTCATGATGTCATAGAAACCAAGGGGAGACAGTACAGGAGTGCCTCCAACCCTGCCCAATTCAACTCTGTACAATATTTCCAAATAGTCTACGTGCTTTATAGATGGAAGGAGATCCTTGAAGAGCCCTGTATCTTACTTTTGTACAACCCCTAGAGTCACCAACTCTTCTAATAGGGCAGCCAGTAAGAGGATTGTCTTTCATTTCATTTTAGTGAAAGCCCTTCAGCAATGAATTAAGACATGTCCAGAAACCAGCCCCAACAGTTCTTCCTTACCCCTCACTCCCAGTTAACAGGTAGTAGACAGAGAATATCTACATGTTCCAAGGAACAGCACCTACAGGCCAACTCACCCATATTATATATGTTCATGTGTAATTATGTACATGATAATAACATGATATGGCCCAAACCCATGATTTCAAACTTTCTTTTAACTTTGCAATATATCTATACTTGAGGCCTCCACTTCCTCTCCTCTTACTTACTTCTCTATACTTTGAAGTATGTTTTCTGACTTTATCACTCAACTGAAACTGCTCTTTCCAAAGTTTTCTCTAAAGTCATCAATAAACAAACATTAACCAGGAACTGTACTAAGCAATGGAGATACAAATACAAACAAAAAACAAAGATGGTCCTCTCCTCAAACAAACAGCTTACATTCTAATAGAGGAAGACAACACATAAAAGAGAGCTACGCTGAAAGGGGTACCTGTGCAGGAGCATAGTGGCAAAGTCTGGAGAATGAAGGACAATGGATCTGGGCCCTTCTTCAAAATGAAGGTTCTGAGAGGAACACCAGTAGAAAAAGGAGGCTACAAATACAGAGGTTTGGGGAAAAGAAAGGAAAAGGGAAGGAAAGAAGGAAGGAAGGAAAAATAAATTCATTTATTAAGTACCTTCTATATGTATTGCCAGGCTCTGTACTAATCACTTTACATATGTTATCCCATTTGATCTGCACAAAACTATGATAAATAGGTGCTATTATTCTTATTTTACAGTTGAAGAAATTGATGTTAAGTAATTTGCCCAGAGTTACACAGATAGTAAGTGTTTGACTTTGAATTAAAGTCATTCTGACTCCAGGTCCAGCATTCTATCTACTGTGGCACCTACCTGCCAGAAAATACCATGGTGACAAAGTCCAGAGAGTGAAGCACGGTTGGTCTGGGCCCTTCCTCAAAATGGAGACTCTGGGAGAAATTCACCAATGGGTGAAGAGGGATGCAGGGATGGAGGGAAAAGGCAGCTGACTCATGGTAGAAAAGTCTGGACAAAAGTATTCTTTTAATTACTAAATACAATGGCCTTTTCTCAATCCTTGTCCTTCTTGACCTCTTAAAGCTCCTCACTGTCCCTTATCCTCACATCCAAGAAATTACCAAGTCTTGTCAATTCTTCCTCCACACCTCTCCTTTCCATCCCCTTCTTTCAACTTTCATGGCCACCACCCTGGTTGAAACCTTCATCCCTTCTCATCTAGAGTATTATAATGGCCTCCTAACTTTTCTCCCTGCTGACAGTCTTCCCCTTTTCTACTTCACCCTCCACAAAGCTGCCAAGGTGATATTCTGAAAGCACAAGTTTGATCATTTCACTGCTTTACTCAATAAATTCCAGTGGATCCCTATTACCTCTAGGATCAAATAAAGACTCCTCTGTTTGGCACATAAAGCTCTTTATAACCTGGCTCCCATCTAACTTTCCAAGATTTCCACCTTCATGCACTCTACAATTATACAAACTAGCTTTCTTGCTAGTTCTTCATTTATAGTACTCTATCTCCTATCTTTGTTTTTGTACAGGCAGTTTCGCCACACCTACAATGTTCCTCCTCCATCAGCCTTTCATTAAAGTATACATGGGAGTTAGATAACTTGCTTGAGTATAGCCTTCAAACCTACATTTACTCTATCAAATTAAATGTTTCTTTAAAAAATCAGTAAACAATATAATAGGATATAATACTCTCTGAAACACTTACCAAAATGACCATAAAATTATCCACAAAATCCTTTCTACTTTCTATTTTCAATGTGCATATGAATAAAAAAAGCATTTATTATGTGCATACTATGTTCCAAGGACGGTATTAAGCATTGGGAATAGAAATAAAAAAGGGACATAGTCCCTACCTTCAAGGAGTTTACATTCTTACAGGGGAAGGCAACACACATTTAGACTGGTAGTTGCAAATGTCTTTTTGTTGCCTTTCTTTGGCAATAGTAAGGTCTGTGATCTTTTCTATTCCTTGGAAACAGAAATCCTTTGATTTCAATTTATTTCTATAGTAGTAGCTATTATAATATTTCAAGAAGACATCCTATATTATTACTGATAGTTTTAATGAATGGGGGGAATCTTGTCAGGTACAAATATAATGAGAAATATGGCTAACAAAATATTTACATTCTGACTGATAAGCATAAAAATATGTTCTCTTTGAAATATATGGAAAACCAAACTCTGATTACCTTTAAAATTGTGGTGCCTCCAGCAGATTTCTGTATTTTGTCAAGACCATTTCACTCTGCTAATTTCTTTACAATGCTGTGGTGCAGTCCAATTGCACCAGTTAATTATGATCTTTCTCACATCTGCTATCCTTTTGGTTTCACCTACAAATGCTCTCAGAATGATCTGGCCTCTCTAGATTCAATTAACCTCTTTGCAGGCTTACATTTATCTTGATGCATTTATTATTTTGTGAAATAAATGAGTTTTTACTCTAAACTAGTGTTGCCTTTAACAACAGGGCATTAAAACATGTTACTTAGTTTGGAGAATCCTGTCAAGTTCTTTAGAGAATTTCCATACTTCTCCAATCTCTACAGTTGATATTGGTTCATAAATAACAATTATCTTAATAGTGGTCTGTTTTCGTCTATGTATCATAATGTCCAAAGATTCCTGTACTGTGGAACTACAAAGGGGGAAAGGGACATGTCAATGTGCCATGCCCCAGAAAAATTTCCTCTCCATCTGTGGTAATGTTGACTGTTGGAGAAGGAAGCAGGTGTATTCATTTCCTGTGTAGAAGTGCTATATTAAAAGAGGCAACAAAATTTAGAGGTTGGTCCTTCAGCTAGAAATAACTGAACTTAGGTCTTAGTTATCAAGACAAAAGAGCTAAGCTAGGAAGCTACCAGATGGTCATGTTTTCACTTTAAACCCATATGAGCTCCTCTCTGGACAGTCCTGCATCTACACTTCACCCGCGGCCTTCCTAGTTGTTACTTCAAAATCCCTAGCTGGGGGGGTATTCTCCACCCCCCCCGCACCCCAACTGTGTGCTGCTTGTTATCAATACTCAGTTTTTCGGGGGGGAAGACCAAAGCACGCCTTGTACATGGTGCACCAAAAGTCTTGGTGCAGTTTCAAGCTTTAATAGCTCGTAAAAGCCCCAGAACTTTCGGGACACCAGTCTACTGGCAGTAAAGCACGCCGTAATGGAGACGGTCCGGCAAAGTGGACATGAAGGGGCCTCACGCCCCGCCTCACGCCCCGCCCCCGCCCCGCTGGACCCTCAGTCAAATTGGGGGAGTGGGGGCGCCGCACTAGACGAAGGGCCCTTCCTGCTTTTATTTTTTTCTGGGATTCAACTTCACTGAGACTGTGTTCACCTCCCAGTCCCCATTTTAAAAGCTGCCCCTCCTGGGCGGGCTCAGACATGGCAGCCTGGGCCACGCCGCGCAGGGACAAAGGCTGCGCAGGAGACGCTCCCGCCTAAGGCGGGCAGAAAAGCCGGGCGAGATCCGGAAAACCTGCTCCACCCGGAAAAAAGGAGAAGAAGGGGTGCGGGGCGGGAGCGTAGGAGGCACCGCGAGGTGGGCAAGAGAAAGCTAGCCTGGGGCCGGAGGAAGCGTGACGAGCTCGGCTCAGCCCCCTGTGCCACACCCAACGGCAAGGCCCGCAATACGCGGGAAGCACAAAGCCCCTCCGACGCCAGGCCAGGCGATTCGACGCTGGAGGGGTGGAGGACCCTAGGCTCCGCCTCCTCCTGCGGGGGGGGGGGGGGGGGGGGGGAAAGGAGGGTTTTGCTCTAGGGCCGCGGCTTCTCTGGAACGTTCTGAGGAAAGGGTGGGGGCAAAGGCGCGCGCACGCGCGCGTTCCACAACCAACGGTGGAACATCCAACACCAGATGGCGCTGCAGCACTTAGTAGCCTGAGCACAAGACGCAAGGATTACTGAGAAGGGTGGTACCGGAACCTTCTCTGGGCTCCCACCCCACTTTGCAGCGCGCAGGCGTCAATCTCTAGGGTGCAGATACATGGGCCTCAAGTGGGTTACCACAAGGGGACGCGGCTGGGGCTGTGACCGGAACTTAGGGGCAACCACTGTTTTTGCGCGCGCGAGCGGTTGGCGCGAGGAGGAGGGGTGGGGGTGGGGGTGGGGGTGAGGGAGGACGTGGCGGGGAAGAGCTGCGCGCGCACCCAAGGTGGGGGCGGGGCGGGGCAGGACAGGCACATTACCTTGGCCTGCTGCGGCCCCAGACGCCTTTGCCGTCCCTGAGCCTCTTGGTTTCCCTGGCAGGAGCCTTATGCTCGGCCCATTCTGGCGCCCTTTCGTCCCGCGTGAGCCGTGGGCAGGGGCGAGGCTTCTCGGGACTCGGCCTCGGCCTTGGGGCGGGCGCCTGGCCCCACCCTTAAGGGCGGAAGGGGAAGGCTGAGGGAGCTGGCCAAAAACAACCGCGGTGGCGTGTGGAGCCGGGAAAGAGAGGACTTTGTTGTTGGGCGGGGGCGGTGCCAGCCGCGATTTTGTGAGGGGAAAAAGCGAGTTAAATTGAGAATTGTTGCCCATGACTGACCCGCCCCTCACACTCCCACCCCCCAATGCTTCTTTGGCGTAATGACCAAACTGCTCAAATGAATCATTTAAGATGCAGGCCATGGCGTCAGTTCTCCCCTGTGAAGTCCACAGCTCCCTGAAAGAGGGCCTCTTCCTTCGTGCAGTCGCATTCCTAAATTCTGATCCTCCATGGGTTTGGATTTTTACAAGGAGGCCATTGTCAGCGGATGGGCTGAAACACTTGAGCTTCCCTAATTTGAATAAAAGCTGGTCTATTGTACACTCCCATTGTGGAGATCCTGTTTTAGGGCATTGTTCTTAAAATGGGTCTCCAGCAGCGTCCTTAATTTTTCTTTTGGCATTGGTCGTAGAGGTAAAGGTTAAGTGTGCTTTAAGAGGATTGCATCAGACGAATGAGATTTCTTATTCCTGGGTCTTAATGAGTTCTCTGCTTCCATGAAAAACGTTAGCTTGTAGTTTTGCAATAAAATGCCCTTGATTTGTTTAATTCCAAGAACTGCAAAGTACTCTGAGGAGGTATATCTTTATGGCATATTTACTTTGGAAAATTAGAGGTTCACACAGCTATTTGTTAATCATCAAAATAGTTTGTTTAGTGTACATGGGGCATTTTGCAATTCAAATGAAACTTCTCTGCTTTAGTTTATCATCGTTTATAGGTTGGTGATAAAGTTAAACCCAAAAACAGAAGAAATAAAACCTGGAAATTTTCAGGCAATGATAATCTTTCAAACAAAGGGTTAAGTTCTACTTTGGGGTTCTTTGTAAAACAAAGTAATGAAAAATTGAAAGTTTAGTGAATTAGGTGAGATAAAGGTTGAAATATGGTAAAGAGTGCTAGATTTGGAAGTTAGGAAAGACCTGGGTTCAAATTCTACCTCCAACACAAATTGTGTGACTGGAAATTTCTGTAAGCCTCAGTTGTAAAATGTAGATGGCAATAGGAGTAAAACCTACTTACCTCACAGGGCTGTTCTGACAAGCAAATTAAAATATATGTAAAGCTCTTGGCACATCTTAAAATGTTATTTAATTGTCAATTATGTTAAATCAGGAGAAATTTAAGTGTGCTAGGCTTGTAGTACAAACAGAACAGAATTGAAGGCCACGGTGAGAGAAACAGACATTTTGAACTGGATGGAGCTTCAGAAGTTCAAACACCACCTTTTAGAGAGGGAAATTCAATCCCAGAAAGATCTCTGCATATTTCACTTGTTTTTCAGATTCAGTATGTATAAAATTGAACTAATCTTTTCCCTAAATCTATCCTTACCAATTTCCATATTTTTCTTAATGGCACCAAGCCTCAGTTTGCAAACTTTTTCATAGGATCAATTAGAATTTAGAGTTGGAAGAGAATTTAAGAGTTGGAAAGGACCTAAGAGGTTATCTTCTAATCCCTTGTTTCATAGATGGAAAAAAAAAATGAGGGCCAAAAATGCTAAGTAACTTGTCCAAAGTCATGAGGCAGAATTAAAATCCAGCATTCATTCTACAATACATGCTGCTTTCTTGTCCAAATTCCCACATTGTCAGTTGCCAAGTCCAGTCTACCTCCACAATATTTCTTACATCTTTCTCATCTCTATTCACCCTGCCACAACCCTAGTTCAGACCCACTTCTCACTTTGGACAATTGCAGTGGCTTTCTCACACTCATAGAGCTGTCGAATGAATCTTCCTAATCCCCAGGTCTATCTATTTCACTCCCTGCTCAAAAACCTTAAGATCATAGAATTTAGGGATTTAATTCTATGTAAGGGACTGTAAATGTGCCTCAAAGTTGCCTTTTGTACATTCCTTAGCCTGATACTTAAAGAGCTACATATTTTATGTTCAACATACTTTCTCAGCTTTGTTTCATGCTACTCCTTTCACACACTGCATGTTGGACAAAATGAACTATTCTCTAATCATGCCTTGGCCTCCTCTGCTACTACACTTACGCAATCTGCCCTCATACCCAGAAAGTGTTCAGAGTTACAGAATTTGAGGTTTGGAAGGGACCAAATAGCTTTCTAGTCCAATCAAACAGAAAAGGGTCCCCATGTATACCACACAAGTGGTATCCAGAGTCTGCTTGAAGACTTCTAAAGAAAGGTATTTAGGCAACTCACTACATGAAGTTTTTCCTGACATCTAACCTGTATTTGCCTCTTTCCAGCTTGTACCATTACTCTTCAATCTGCCCTCAATGACCAAAAAGAACAAGTATAATCCTTGCTACATCTGACAATTCCTTAAATATTTAAAAATATCAATCACACATACCCTGAATCTTCATCTTATCTAAGCTAAACATTGCCAGTTCCTTCAACCAATCCTCTTATGAGGTTAACTTTTTAGTTTATCAACTCCTTAAATTATGGCACCTCAAGAACTAAACACAGTACCCAAGGAAAGCTGACAAGGATAGAATACAGCGGTATTGTCTTCCTATTCCTGGATGCAATGTCTCTCTTAGTGCAGCTAAAGATTACACTTGAGTAATAATGAGTTTGCCTTCAAGTCTAAGGTTTGGTAAGCCATTTATCCCTTTTGAATTGTGTGTTCTGTCAGACACTCTAGCCCAGGAGTTGGCAACCCAAGTGCAGCCCTTTGACTGAATCCAAACTTCACAGAGCCTGCAGGCCGCAGGGTCCCCACTCCTGCTCTAGCCTGTCAAGATCTTTCTGGATCCCGACTGTTGTTCAATGTATTAGCTATCCTTCCCAGCTTTGTGTCATCTGCAAATTTAATGAGTTTACAATCTATTCCTCTGTCCAAGTCACTAAAAGAATGTTAAAGAGTACGGGGCCAAGCATAGATCCCTAGGTATTCCATTGGAAATCACCTGCCACATGGACATTGAATCACTAACATCTCTGATTCCAGCCATCTAAACAACTGAGCCCCGGGAGTTGTATTATGATCTAGTCCACATCTCTCCATCTTATACACAAGCATTGTGGAATGTACCTTATCAAAAGTCTTGATAAAATCTAGGTAAACCATACAGTACAATAAACATGTAAAGTGCCTACTACATAACAGGCATTGTTCTAAGCTCTGAGAATACTAACAAGACAAAGTCCCTGCCCTCAAAGAGCATTCCTCTAATGGGAGGAGACAACACAGAGGTAGCTGTAAAGGGAGTAGAGGGGAGAAGGTACCCAAGCATGATGACGGTGGAGTCAAATCCAAGCAGTGCAGCTGGTGGGAAATAAAAAGATTGTCTGGGCTTCTGAGTCCCCTTTAAATGGGGGCTCAGAGTGAGGAGTTTTTTTTGCTTCACTTTGGAGCCCTCTAATCAGAGGAGCAGACTAAACTGAGGGAGTGTGGATACCAAAGCTGATGCAGTTTGTGATGATGAGTTTCCTGGTGCTGAATTCTACTACTCATCTACTAGTTTAATAATCCAAAAAGAAAATGAAGTTATTCTGAGATAGTATGTTCTTGATGGAGTCAAGTTCAGCTCTATATAATTGCATCCCTTTCTAAATGTTCACCAACCATTTTCTTAATGATCCATTTTAGAATTTTCACAGAAACAGAAGTCAAGCTCACTGGCCTGTAATCTGCATATTCTGTTCTCTTTTTGGAAAATCAGGGCATTTCCCTAACTTCTCTTCCATTTTCCATGTTCTTTCAAATGTTCCTGACAGTGGTCCAGAAATTAGATCTACCAGTTCTGTCAGGTCCCAGAGTTCATCTGGGTTAGGTGATTTGAATTCATCAATACTAATAATAGCTTTAAGGTTCACAGCTATCCCCATTTTACATACAAAGAAACTGAGATATAGAGCTGTCAAATGAATTGCTCAGGGTACACAGCTAAGAAATGTCAGGTAGGATTTGAACTCAGGTTTTCCTAACTCTAAGACCTGTTACCTATTCACTGTGCTACCTTGCTGCCTTTTGGGGACCTAGATGCTCTCTTATTCTCTCCTTATTTATCTTCGCTATCTACTTCCTGTCAGGCATTTTTGTTCTCACGTCCAGTGCAGGTCACTCTGTTTAGCAGAGAAAATAGAAGCAAAATAAGAATTATCAGCTCTCCCTTCTCCCTGGGGTTTGTTGTCTTTGCCTCATTCACTCTAAGCAAAGGTCCCATCCTTTCTTTGACACTCCTTTTTCTAATAAAGCTTAAAAAAATCTGAAACCTTAGTTATTCTTGGAATGTCCTGTTAGTTTTTATCACTGTTTTAATAGGACTGTGCCATGCTCTTATGTCCATCCTTAGTTACATTGGCCTTGCTTTCATCTTCTCTATTTTTTTAAAAATATAAGTTGGTTGGTAAGTTCCCTATGCATACACATTTGATCTCTTCAGACAAATTTCATTTTTCATGTTCACTGGAATTGTTTCCCTTTGTATCTTGAAAACTCCATTCTTAACTCTATGATTTTTCTCACTTGAGAGCTTCTATAGCTCTAGTATATCATTCTTTGGAGAGCAAGCAGCTGCTTCTTCAGAGCATCAAGCTCCCTCTTCAGGAAGAACCTCAAATCTGTTTTTAAAACTCTCATTATGTAGCTGCCCTTTTTCATTTCCTTTCTCTGTGTAACTTTTTCATTCTCCAAAATTAGGGCAAGGGTTATATTTACTTTTCTCTACCTCAGATCCATTTTTTTTTCTCCATTGAAGCCTTTTTCTGTCCATGCAACTTCTTGCTTTAATTGACTGGTTCCTCCCAGAACCTCCTCTTTAAGAAGAGCACCTAGGTCAGCCATGTCTTCATTCCACTCTGAGCTCTGTTCCTGAGTTTCTGGACTTTGTCTTCTATTCTCTCTCACCTATACCTTCTCCTTTT